GGTCTTTTAAATGAGACTAAGAAGTTTCTCTCTAGTAATGAAGACATTATTGTTGGACATAATGTGTACTTCCTATTAAAGTATCATGTTAGGAAGAAGAGTCAATATAGTAGTACATGGAAGGGACTATGCCAACTTGATAGCATAGAACCGCCATGACTCATGTTGGTTTTATTTCTAATAATGAATTTATGATGAGATTAATGTATGGAACCTTTAGCCTAGTAAATGCGCATTATAATGAATTTTTATTAAATCATGAAGGGACACCTCATGACATGTGGGAGAATGTAAAACCTTATTTGTCTCGTGTATAACTTTAAGTGTTATTTGATTTAATTAATAAAAGGGCATAATGGTAATTGACTGCTAAGGAAGTTATTCAAAAGAATAACTGTTGATAGGTGCAGTTTTTTTAAGAGGAGTGGGCAGTTTTCTTATAAATGGGGTCTAGAAAACTGATTACCATCATTGTCTGCCCATGAGCGTTGTATCACATCCCTATCAGAAGAAGATACAAGAAGTGAAAGGGTCAAGACTCTGAGAAAGCATTCTACCGTCAAAGATCTTCCGCAATTATGAACAAAGGTATGTTTATGTGAAACTCATAAATTCTAAAAATCCTTTTCATGTTCTTGATCTGATTGTTATAGAGCATGATGTTATTGATTAAAGCTCACACAGTGGGATCCACAACTTTAATTTTTTTTATCTACTCTCTCTCCCTTATGATCTATCATTTTCTCTCACTTAAAATAATACAACTCTACATTTTTTAAAATGACACACATTTTTTCCTTCTTTGTTTACGTTGAAATATGTATGCTTATAGACTTAAGTTGCAATGATTGATGCAATTATAGTAGAGAAATACATTGGTGTCACATACCAACAAGTGGGAATGTATAGTTGACAACTTGTGAGAGATGCCTCACCGTGTTTGACCTCAGTACACATACAGTTCAACTTAGTGCACATATAATAGATTTATCTCGGGTCCAAAAAGGGGCCATATAGTAGCGTTAGCGTATTCTAAACTTAGTGATTCTTTTATGGGAAAAATTACTCTTATGCAATATAAGAATAGTTTTATCTTCAATAAATCATCGAAAATAGTGACACTCTTTTTTTTTTTTTTTAAATGGTGGATCTCATCACATGTGTGTCTACAACACAAGAGATTTTCTCTCATGCAAGATAAGATGAACCCTTCTTTAATTTATGGTAATGTTCATGTAAATCGCAGTTTCTCTAACCTTTTTTGCATGTTTGTTTCCTTTTTTGAAATAAAGTGCTATGCCGGACACCTGATTGAAAAATCGATAGAATGCAAACTTTGATTTTATCACTTACTGGAATTCACGTCTCACCCTATTATGGGACTTATTTCAGGTCAAGGAGATCAAGGAAATGCACCCAATAGTGCAAGAATGTATCACTTTGGGTTATACATGTGATTGTCTATGTGTGAAATATTTGATAACTTGACAAATCTTTTTTTTTTAATACGAACATGACAAATCTTTAGATAGACCGTGTAGTTCGTTTTGTATTTGAAGAATCTTGCTATACTATGTATGTATTAAGGGCTGGTTGTTGCCCCTTTAGACTCAAATTTTGGATTAGTAAAAGGCTGGACATAGAAAAATGACTAATTGATAAAAGAATAACCTTTCAATTTTCAATTATAATTATCAAGATAATAAAATTCAACTGCTACAGTAAGGGTTTTAAACACTCTTTTATAGACTAATTAGAAACCAATTCAAAATTAAAAATACTAAGAATAAATATAACGAAAACTACATTTTAAAATAAATAGATAAATGATTATAATTAAATCATTCAAAACACATCCCAAATTTTAGATTTTAAATCACGCCAAATTTATTTTCCCTTTTTTACCAAAAAAAATCACAAGTATACCTAGTGCTTCATTAGGACTTGAATTTGATCATAATCTATTAAATTTCAAATTGTTGCTTCTTTGTACATGCAAATCATACTTAATGGGTGATTGTTCTGTCCTGAAAATAAAGATGTCTAATCCAGCGGGCTAGTGAGTTTATTTTGGATCTAGGTGTTCTCTAAGGTATCTATGAGTTAGATACCCTTAAGTTTAGCGAATCATTGTGTACAAAAGAGTAAAAGACAGCTTTCGTCAAAAGAGTGGTGTGTGTGCACAATGACAGCATAACAATAAAAGAGAGAGAATCCTCTATACTTGTAGTCTTTACCTCTTATTTATAAAGTTTACTTTGAGTATTAGAATTGTGAGTCTTATGTGTCTTTTCTAGTGCCCAAGCTCGTGCTTAATGCTGTCATATTAAGATTGATATCTTTGATGAATATTCTCCTTTGAGTATATCAGATTTTATTTGGATTGCCCTTTATTGGGCCATATGATAAATGAGCCTCACATATGAGTCCACAACAATTGCCTCTCATCCAAGTAGTCTGGGTGTCCGGGTTGTCGGGATGCATATAAGTTTAAAAAATTACCCGAATTTCTATAGGTTTCTATATAAGATAATAAAATTCAAGGGCCTCATATAAGGGTCTTAACTCTTAAAAACTTTTATAGACTAATTAGAAATCAATTCAAAATTAAAAATCCTAAGAATAAATATAACGAAAACTACATTCTAAAAATAAATAGATAAATAATTACAATTAAATTATTTAAAACACATCCCAAATCTTAGATTTTAAATCACGTCAAATTTATTTTTCTTTTTTTACCAAAAAAATCACAAGTATACCTAATGCTTCATTAGGACTTGAATTTGATCATAATCTATTACATTTCAAATTGTTGCTTCTTTTGAATATGTAAATCATGCATAATTCTGGTTGACTCCAAATTTCTTGAATCAATGGTTGAACTATGTACAATGAACTCATTGTACGTGTATCTCACTTTTGTGTATTACAAGCACTCTTGTTGGAATGGATGTTTAGTTACGCAGAGCTTGTATAAGTATGTTTTAATTCTGTTGTTGAACAGTACAAGTGTGAAATGCTATTGTTATCGTGGGGCATTACACATTACTTCGTAGTGAGTTTCCAACAACACTAGTCTGTGTGCAAAACAAGTTATTTAGCATTTGCATGACAACAAAGCACAGATAAACGAACAATGGAGGTAACACCTAAAAAGAAAATACTATTAGAATATTGCATCCAATAACCTGTGATTGTGAAGTTCCATAATCAATGTGATAGATAGGACAAAAAAAACATGAGAGAATATATATATATACATAGTGAACCATTCATTTAATATGTAGTCAGTTTGACAACTACTGCATGGTGAGACCCAAACATGAAAGGGTAAAATCAATTACCTATTTTGATTGGTCCATTTTACAAAGAAAGTAGTACACCATGCATATCCAGGAATTTTTTTCCCTCTAACGTAAGTGTTGTGACACTCATAGTACCCACCCTTGAATTAGATATTCAGGATGTTTCAGTGATTAAGTTTCTTTCTATATATGTTTACTCTCTGCAAAAATATTGTCCCACATAGTGTTGTTTGAAAGACAATAATAGTAGAATTACTGTTGTATCATCAAACAATTTGGAACATTATATCAACCAGTTACTATAGTATTAAATTTGCTAGTCTTGATCACAGAGCATTAGTTTTCCAACACATTATAAGATATCATGGTCATAGGTACCAAAAGATTCAAATACAAAATGGGAATCAAGTCAAAAGGTTGGATGATGCTTTTTAGGTGATTCGGGAAGCTAAGTTGGTAGAATGTAAAACTGTGAAAAAGGCTTGGTGTCAAATTTGTGCATTGGAATATATAATGCAATGATAGAAAAATGTATTTAAAAGTCACCAAGCCAAGGAGAATTAAATTCAGTGAGGCAATCCTGTATAACTTGCTTAATTGACAGTGGTTTTATGATGTAATTTCAGCACCAAGAAATTCTACTATACAAGTCAATATTATGCTTGACAATCTTAACGAAATATTTCAATATATTGAACACAATATCATGACTTGCAGAGAACATTAAGACTCTCCTTCATGCACATCATGGCAAACAATGTTCTACTTTTATCTACAAACTGAACCAATCATTAATAATATAGTTTATTACCTTCACACACCCTGGCTGTCCTCTACTGTGACCAGTAACTATCAGGAACTTCAGCATGGTAATGTTTCTTACAAGATGAACACATCAACTTAGCCTGTATCATCAGTATTCACATTAGACTAGATAGAAAATTACAGCCAAAGCTGACCAAAATCTTACCCTAACCCTTGTCATGCCCATTCACTGGCAAAGTCACACTCTAAATTTGCTGGATACTTAAGGCCACCAACTCCAACATGTCCTCTAAAGCCAAAAAAAAAAAAAAACACCCACAACTGCATACAGCAAGAATAAGACAACCAGCTCTATCACTGTATGCTTGTTCACAGCAAAAATAAATGGCTGGATTGGCCCATAAATGGAAGTTATCTCAAGGAATTCCATAATTGTAAATTCTTATAATAAAAGTAAATTGCTTTTTCTCTTTGTTAAATAAACTTTGGCATAATTACTGTAACTAAACAAATCTACCTGATATGCAGCTAAATGAGAAGTATAGTCGAAAACAACTAAAAAAGAGAGGGGGTTTGTGGTGGTGGTGGTGGTGGGGGGGGTGGGGTGTGATAAAGTCTAAAAAAGGCAAACCCGACGAACAAGGTTCCCCGTCTTGCTAGAGTAGGGATGGGGTCAATTATATGCAACCTTACCTTTACAATTTCGCAAAGAGGCTGTTTCTCATACTTAAACCTATGACCTTTCAATCACAAAGAGCAACCTTACCACTACTCCAAAGCTTGCCCTCAACCGTGTAAGCAAACAAAAAAGGGGAAAAAAATATCCATGAGAGGCTGAAACGGCCAGCAGACAAACTCATGTTTCCTTTCTCGATTAGCAACTTCTAATCCAGTATAAACATATACTAATCTATCTATTTGTCACGATGTTTGAATTACATTTATGCTATAAGCTATATTAAGTGTTACATGGGTAAGAACGGGTTTTGAAACCGAGTCAACTTCAATTCAATTCTCTACCCAACATAAGAAGAATGGAAAACTAAAACAGCTCAAACTCTTCGCATTCTTCTGTATCTTCTAAATCAGCTGCATTCTCTTTCTGTGCAACCATAGAAAGAGCACTACTTCCAAACACACGAAACTTGGGGAGCTCTGGCGGGGCTGCACACCGTATTAGAGCCCAGTTGAGGCCTTCGAAGAAGGGATGCTGCTTTATTTCAGCAGCACCTTTTACAGAACCTAATCTATTTTTGGGATCCTTTATCAACAATCCTCTGATCAAATCTCTTGCATAAAAACTAACTATCGGAGCACCTGGGAACTTAAGGCTCTGTGAGACAACATTGGCTAATGTGTCCTCATTTGCTGGGCCCTTGAAAGGAGTCTTACCATATAAAAGCTCAAACAAAAATATACCAAAAGTCCACCAATCTACAGCACTCCCATGACCCTCACCTTTGATCATCTCCGGAGCAAGATATTCATATGTTCCAACGAAGGAGTTAGACCGCGCACTGGTAGGCTCCACTACAAGCTGTGGCAGTGGACCAACTTGAGCAGCTATGTCAGCCTTCATCTTTCGAGATTTTGCTCCGGCAGATAATAGAATGGGAGTAAAGCAGGAGACTTGCCAATCCGGTTGGAGACAGAAAGGGTGTATGCAGCTAGCCTCTGAACAGGGACTGGACATCTTCCTTGTTGCATCCATGTCCGGTGAAGATGACTTGACTAACATTGGATTGACAGAACATCTGAGTGACAAGTCAAAATCCGTCAGCATTATGTGGCCATCTTCTCGTACTAGGATATTTTCTGGCTTAAGATCTCGATATACAACTCCGAGCATGTGTAAATACTCCAGGGCAAGAAGAACCTCAGCAACATAAAACCTGCAAATGTAATGGCATGACTATAGTCAAGGAAATTTGTGAAGAAGTAATCCACTTGCCATAGATTGTGTCATACAAGAAACCATTCCTTGTAAAGTGGGAATAAGAAAACACAGAATTTACATTTGAATAAGCATGATAATAAGTGGAAAGAACATGTACAAGATGTTTGAATTATACAAACTATACCTAGTATAATTTATCTACATCTTGCGGTGTTGTAGGTTAGTCAAGATTTTTTTCTTGGTACATGAATCAATTTCAAACATTGCTATCTGATTCATTTCTCCTGGGGATTGCTATGATTTTCTGTCTGTTTTTAACACTAAATCATCCAACTGATTTGTGTATATGTGTGTGTCTCTGTTCTTTTTAAATTTCATCAACATTAACTCCACTTCTACTCTCCAGAAATTTGAACTCAGATTTTCTAATTTTGGAGCATAGCACAAACATAAAGTGATAGCTGGACTTTCAAATAAATGCTAACAAGCCAACAAATTAACATAAGGTCCATTGAGTGTATTCAAAAAAATAAAATAACATAAGGTCCATTGAACTTCTTGAACACAGCTTTGGTCTAAAAAAAATAGTTTAAGAACATAATATTACTCTAACTGGACAAGATTGAATTTCAAAATAGAAAAATAGGTATCCTGAAAAGATTGAATTTCACAGATATCTTTAAGTGATGAAGAAGAAAGACTGTTTTAAATTTCACAATTCCTACCTAGCTGCTTGTTCCGAGAAACTCCTATATGGCTGCCTCTGTCGCAGGACATGCAGATCTCCACCTGGACAATACTCCATCACCAAACAAGAGAGTTTATCTGTTGCGATATGGGAATAAAGCGTAGGAAGAAACGGATGATCCAACATCTGCAGGATCTCTCTTTCAGTTTGGGCCCTGAACATTTTCTTCCGGCTTGCCAAGAATTCATTGTCCATCACTTTCAGTGCAAAAAGGCAGTTTGTTCCAATTAGTTCTGCAAGATAAACAGTTCCAATGTCCCCACTACCAAGCTTCCTCAGCAGCTTGAAGTGCCTCAAATTTAAAATACCATTCTGCTGTTGAACAGCACGAATAGCTTCCCATCTCAAGTGTTTTGACATGTGAGGCCTGTTGCCACTGCGACTGGAACCACTTAGATTGCTCTCCTCGCTGATGCTTGTGCTACTACTATACTCACCAATGCTACTTTTTGAGCTCTGGGAGAACTCACCCTTTTCCTTTGATCTTGATTTCTCATCAACTTTTGTCACAAGAAACTTACTTCTCTTATTGCAATTCAAACTAAAACCAGATTTGCTTGAATCCATGCTAACATTAATTGAGTTAACTTCAATGCTGTGCTTTGAACTGCTGGGAGACAGTTTCTCATTTTCTTTCATTTCATGCTTCAAATCAGAATTACCAGTCTCCTTGTCCAAATTACTTGCACTAGACCCAAAATCATTTCTCATACATGGAGTAGAGCAGCTCGAGGCAGAACATAAATCTTGCTTTACTTTTTTCTTAAGGAAGTTAAAGTTATTAAATATTGGCCTTGCCAAACATGTATTACTGCTTGTGGGTTTATCCACTACATTACCAATGCTAGAGCTAGGTGGACAAGATGTAGAATGTAAATTTGCTTCTTGCCCCTTATCTGGCATTGAAGAACCAAGAGAAAATTTGCTCGAGGAAGCAGGATCCATTCTGACCTCTTGCATTTCCTCACTTGCAGAAGTAACTGGTGACAGATTTGCAAGTATTGGTTTTCCAGTCCCTATGATTGGCTTGTCACCCTCAACCTCTGGAGGAAGAGGAACAATCTGATCCCGGGATGCAAACCTAGTAGTCATTGCTTTTGGTTTTGTTGCATCAACCAAAGGAATAGAATGATTAGCACTTGAACTAGATATAGCTACACCGGGCAATTTATCTGAAGCTGCAGATATCTCTGGCACTAGGGAAATTTCCACCAAGTTCCCTTTCCCCTCATCTACCACAGCTGTGTATAACTTTTTGATGGTGCCAGCCTCCGATACTCTTGATGAACTGCATGGCTTTGACAGTCTCTTCAAAGCAGCCATTTCCGATGCCTGAGATATGCACAACCCTCTAAGTGCCTGCTTTAAACTTACAGGCTCCGAGATGCCAATTCCTGATGCCTGAGATGAACTGACTTTTATTGGCCTTTTAAGAGCACTCTTTTGTGAACGTGATGTACTAGGACCTCTACATGAACTTTTAATGTCAATAGCCTGGAAAAGATGATTGATATCATCCTCAATCGAATATTTTTTTCCTGATTTGTGAGCACAACTAATCTCAGAAATTATCTCCACCCTTGATTCCACTATCTCACATGTATTGGCATAGGTATCCATATTTGACATATGTATTTGATGAGTTGACAAACTAACTGGCTACTTAGCTTTAGCCCAATTCTAAAGATGAGTCACAAAGTGAATTGCACAGAAATCAAAAACCTCAGAGGCATTCCTCCAGATTCTTCTTCAGTCATAATTCTCAGCACAATTGATTGGTTGACTTGAACCTCTTTATTGATTACAAAATGAAGCATCCAAACCTGCAGTTTTAGTAATACTAATAATATTTCAGATTGGTTAGGACAAGAATTGTGGTTCAAATGAAGAGATGTACTGCAATGCATAAGCATTTATCTATGACTTCAACCAGAATATTCATAAAACATTTGAAACATACTTTTCATGGCACATAGACATGGAAAAACAAAAAAACAAATGTATTCAAACATCCAGTTGCTAGAAAAACTGAAGTGCATCTTCACCTCACTTAATCACTTCTAAAAAAAATTAATAAATAGCTATCCTTGTAATTTGAAAGACTCAACTTCTTTTTCTTCTGAACTATAAAAAGTGACAATTCATTTCTTCCCTCACCCCTAGCTTTCTATTTCTCCTTCACTTTTATCTTTGCCATTACCATCCTTATATCAGTTTCTCTCTGATTGTCTAACATGAGACATAAATCCCTGATGGAGGGGAACCACAGAGCACATGTATGAGTGCTTAGGGTATACAATCAGGGAAGGTGCTCTGTGTGTTCACACTTTGTGTTTGAAGATGTGAATGTGAAAAATGGTGTAATTTCCTTGATTTTGTAAATACTGGTAGGCACATGTAAGAGTTGATATCAGGACAAAAGGAAGGATCAAAAATTAAGAGTCAGTGTTAAAATTATTCAAAAGCAACCTTGGATTTAAAGCAAGGATGGAGAGGAGGGAAGTTCAATGAAGGAGAGAATTTAAAAAATAAATAAGTGGAATCAGTGAAACAAAAAGAATAAATACATTTAATTAATTTTACTCCCCATGGATCAGAATTAATAGCAAGCTTGAAAATTAAAAGAGCAGCTAAAAAAAATAAAGTTTTAGCTTCACACAATTAAATTGCAAAACTATCACCCAAATTTTTTTGCAAAATCAAACAAACTTAATCCAGTAAGCACCCCAAAAAACCAAAACTGCAACTAAAAATCAAGACAGTGAAGAAAAAAAAAAAAAGTTGAATAAAAAGTGATCAAGTTGGGCAAAAGATTACCTGAAACAAAACAAAAATCCCAGAAACACCACTTAGAAGGAGAATTCAAAGACCCAAAAACACAAAATATGCAAACCAACCATAGAGAGCAGCATGATAGATTGAGAAGCCTAGGCCTAGGGTTTGAAGTTTGAACTTCGAACTTTAAAGTTTGATTGAAAGAGAAAGAGAGAAACAAAGAAAGAAGAGAGAGAGAGAGTTAGTCAAGGAAGTGAATGAAGAAAGAGAAAAAACAGAAAAGGTTGAAATGGTAATCACGAGAAGGATGAGAGACAGAGAAAACAGTGCTATTACTATTACTATAACTATAGCTGCTACTACCGCTACATCACCACCTTTCTTTTCCTTTTGTTTCTTTGTTTTCTCTGTAATATGTAAAGTAATGTAATGGTGGGAAAAAAAAAAAAAAAACATTTATGATTTATGATTTATGATTTATGTTATGTTGTTGTGTTTATCTGTACACAACATTAACATAGTGTACAAATAATGTTGTGTTGCAGAGACACATGTACAAGATAAAGAGACAGCGGGAGAGAGAGAGAGAGAGAGAGGAGGTTTGTGTATAAAATATATGAAATATGTTATGTGTCTTTGCAACAGAAGTGGCTGTAGATGTAGCATGTAGGGGGAGGTAGTACCCGCTACAAGTTTCAAGGGTCCCACCTTATTCTTCACAATCACAAAAACATGTGGCTTTTTTCTATGGTTTTAAAATTTATTAGAAGTCTAGTTTTTATACAATAGAATGTTATATTTATAATTTTTTTATTTACAAATTATATTAAGTATGATCGGTCATACTTTAATTAAGAGTGTATGACCGATCATATTTAATGTAATTTATAAAAAAATAGTAAACAGATCATTTCCTATGTGTTTTTAAGATAATTTTAGTCTTTATCATAAAAAAATATAAAACTACTTTTCATATAAGCAAACAATTTATGTATAAAGAAAATATTTTCTGCATGAGTGACAAAGAAATTTTATTTATCACACAAAAAAGAATTCTTAATCATTGAGTAGGAATAGATTGTGATTTTAGATAGATTTTATTTAGGGTAGTGTTTGGTTCGAGATATTTGAAAATTTCTCCAATTAACTGAATGTAGCATTTTCACTTGTCCCCATTTGGTAGAAGAGATTAAGAAATTTACCTATCAAATGATTTTCCCCAGGCATTGTCAATTGTATGTAAAAAAACAACATATTCACTGTACAAGAATGCAACTTTCAACATGGTATTTGGAAGAAAACTGGGTAAATGGCAAAAAACAACATATGCACATTACAACTTACAAATTTCGATGTGCTTTTTCCCCGGTAATATTTTACTCCACCAAACAACTTTTTTTTTAAATTTTTCTACCAAACTTACTTTCCTACTTTTTTGCAAGTAATTACATTTTTCTGGTAAAAAAATTTCTCCTCTACCAACCACCCCCCAGGGAAAAACTACGCTTATGCTACATGTGATAACTTTCTCTCATACACATCCTTCGATAACTGTGCCACATTTTTCTCTTCTTTTCTTTTTTATTTTTCAGGTGGTGGAGCCCACAAATTTATCTCTATGATATGAGATAACTTATCTCCTTTAACATGAGATTAATAAAACCCTTTTATTTATCATCGTAAGGATTTAAGTTTTGAAATTGTCGTTTTCATAACATAGTTAATAAATGATTATTTTAAGAAAAACAATAATTTTTTAAGAAAATTGATCTCGAAATAATTTAATTCAAATGTTTCTAAAACTAGTAATGTTAAAAATGTGTATATTATGTACCAAAAAAAAAATGTGTATATTATTATTCCATTAATACGTTGATACATTATTAGTTCTTAAAAAGTGGTTATATAATCAATTATATATGAATTTTACAATTTTAGAGGGTCAAAATTAAATTTGACTTGTAGGAGTTACTTTAATATATGTAATAAGGGAAAAATGTTTCTGCAGTTACTGCAGATAAGTTATCTGCATTTATTTTCAAAACAACGTCGTTTTGGTATTGAAATCTAAAAAATTATAAATATAAAGACTATTATAATCCTGAAATAAATTAAAATTATAAAACCACCATGATTTCACCCCAAAACGACGTCTTATTGAGCTTACTCAGATAACTTATCTGCAGTAACCGCAGAAAAAGCGAACACATGTAATAAATAGTTAAACAATTATTATTGGAAAAACTATTCTCATGTTACATGAGATAAGTTTCTCCTCCAACACATCCTTCCATAACTATGTCACTTTTTTCTTTTCTTTTCTTTTTATTTTTTCAATTGATGGAGCACATAAATTTGTCTTTATGACATGAAATAACTTATCTCCTTTAACATGAGATTAATAAAATCCATTATTATTTTTATGTATATATCAACTTTAATTGACACTAGAACTTTTTAAGAGGTGGAAAATGGATTGTCAATTCACAAAGGGTATAGAATCAATCCGATAATATCTATTGAGGCATAAGTATGAAAATTTTGTGTTTGTGGTCTTATGCGAAGGTTGAGAAATTGGGAAGTGTTTTGTAAGGGTTTGGTTCTTGGAGTGTATAATAAAAGGGATCTATTTATCTCATGTAACAGAGACAAGATAGTGAGATTCACTACTTTTTCAAAAAAAAGAATAAAAAAAATAGTGGACCCCACTAATTTGTCTTTGTTGCATGAGATAATTATCTCATGCAACATGAGATAATTATTTTCCATAATAAAATTGAAATAAAGTAATAACTATGGTGGGAGTGAGCGTGAAATTCCTTATTCGATATGTGTATATAAGGGCTATTTATAGGGAGGAAGATTCTTCTAGTGTTGAAGGTGTGCTCCAAATCTATTTGCCTGATAAAATCAATACTAATAATAGTGGTACGTTGTTTGGAATTGAGGGGTAAAAATATAAGGGAAAAACATCTTAGTAAGAACTTTTGTCAAAGCACATTTGTGATGTTTTGTTATAGTAATGCAGTCAAATGTGCTTGTGATAGGTACGAGATCAATTTTGCATGGGTTCAATACGGGAGTAACGTCCATGTCACCCGCTTTCATTCAGTTCCGCATGCATGTGATACAGGGCACGTTGACAGGTCACTCCCGCATGGTCTTCGTACGTGACTCTTTGAACATGTGGCAATCACGCACCTAACAGGTACGAGACTAGTTGTGCATATAATTTATATGGGACACTTTTCCTTAATAAATCACCGTAAATCTTAACAATTATTTTTTGTTTTGTCTTCCACGCCTTCTTGTAAGAGACATGAAATCCAAAGAGATCAATCACTCTTTCTTGTATCAGGATCATAGGTACTGAAGGTTGGGCCTTAACCATGTCTGCATTACCATTCACAACATGTATATATTAGGAATGTTATTTACATTGACTGATAAACACAAATAATTATCAAAATGAGCAGATAGTATTGCACATCGTACCTAATATGACTGTGGAAATAAGTTCAGAATCAACTTGTCTGTGATCTTGGAAAAGGAATTGGCTGACACAACTATGACCTCCAACCCATTTACTAACCACCCAAGTGTTGCTATTCTTAGATTTAATTGCTTACTCGCCAATTGCAACCTTGTTCGTGGTTTCGACATTTCACAGATAACTTGGCCATAGTACTCTCAACCACTACAACTTCTTGATTAACCTTCATGCAATAATGTTTTATTGCGGTCTGAACATCGTGCTTGGACTCAGACTCTTATTTGACGTATAATGGATCTCCTCTTGTCCATGGACCCCATCATAAGCCTTCAACATCCAGTATATCTTCATGCGGGTAAGCCCAATTAATAGCCTCATAATGTGTAATCATATTCCAAAATGGTGTAACATCTACACATTCACACATAATACGTTTTAATGAAAACATAGTAACCAATAAAAAATGAAAAAAAATATAATGACAAAACTCACTAAGGAACATGATGATTGTGGAAAAATTGCAGGATTAGGCATAGGGGTACCAGTCTCGTGTGACATTGGATTGCCATGATGTTCATCAGCTGCAACGCTATCATTATGATCATGGTCATTAACCAACAGAGTGTCTTCATCATCCTCTTACTCCTTATTGTCAGGTTTTCTGTGTACCATATAGTCGCTCTCTTATCCATGAGCAACAGTTGATTGTGTAGGTTGGGTGCAGAAGATAATACATATTGTGACTGACTATTAAGGTCCAATCCACCAATCGGTATTTGATAGATCCTCTGATGTATCAATATCCACGTATAACTCAACAAATTGAAACGTAGAGTTATCCACTGATATTCTAGGGAAAACATCCACATCCTCATCATCATATATAACAAACCCCACATATTTGCAATTTACATTTGGGACTATACTTGTCACTGAAGATATTATTTGATTTTTTTGGAGCTTCAACTTTCGATGGATCTTCTCCTTTAAATCTTTAACGGACATATTTCGGACAATATACATTGCTCTTTTTTTCCATTCGAAGGTCAAACCGCTTGCACCTACATTTTTAAAACCATTGTAATACACAAATGAACGAAATTGATCCATTATAGTATTGCAAATAAAACTTAAAAATAAAGAAAAATATAGATGTTGGGGGGTCCAATTGTGCGATGCTGCAACAAAAGGCTATATGGATATTGGAATGAATATTCAAAGATGAAGAACACAACACAAGATAGTTCAAAAAATAAGCACCGACAAAGTAAAATCTCCTAATGTGGTTCTTATTGAATGGTTCATAGGAGTGAAGAAAATAGGGCGGCAATGGTGGAAGAAAGGTAAGTATGACATTGAGATGTTATTTTCGTACCTGAGGGGGGTATATATAAGGGGATTGGGTGAGCGTTTGGTAGGATGGACGATTACATTAAACACGTACGGCGTCAGTGTTGGACCAGCACCTGATCCGTACGGGGCTAGTGACATATGGATTAGATGCGAGACTAGTCCGTCACTGACACCGTACGGGTTTAGTGCTTGACCGGTGACGTTGACACTTGTCCCATATGAAAAGGGTGCAGGACTCTCTGGTACTGGGTGACGTGGACAATGATCCTGTACTAAATCCATGCTGGACTAATCCTATATTTGTCATGTACAGGTTTGATTGCATTACTATAGAAAAAAACATATCAAATATTCTTGGATTGGACAAATCTTTTCCCAAAGAATCTTACTATAGTGCTTTGGCCTAAAATATGATGCAAATAAGACATCTAATTATCGTTTAGTGGATATGATGGACGAAATTACACTCTTCATGAATGCACTGCGTTTAATTTTTTTTCAC